CCAACACTACCCTTCTTCCCTAGCAGATTCCTGGGATAAGCACTGCAGACTTCACTCAAGGATCAGACAGTACTTGGGGAAGATCTGTGCAGCCCAGTTGTGGGGAAAAAAAATACAAGACAGCAAGCCAGCCCAGTGCTTCACATCAAACAATTTCCTTTTTAAATAAAAAGGTAAGAATGAACTTACTGGTTCATAGATTAGCCCATCTGCAGAGGAAACCATTGTTTCTGCTAAATCCAGAACATCAGCACCCACATCTATTTTTAAGAGGGAGAAAAATATTAAGAGTCCTACAGATTATCACAAACAAACAAGTTTGATTTGAAATAAAGTTCCACAATACAGTGATAAATCCTTGTTAACAACATTCAAGCCAAGAGAAAAACAAATTTGGCAAGAGGCATATTACTGGGAGGTGGAGGGAAACCAGAAAATCACACTTTTCAACCCATCATGTTGGAGTATCATCAACTGATGCACAGTGACCAGTTCTGCAATACTTTCTCAGTAATGTATAACACCTTTAGAGATGCTGTATGAACCACATGAACAAGCCCTCTAGGATCCACGATGCATAAATATTTTTTCCTGTTTTTTAGGCACTGAATCCAAACCAAGACTAGTCAAAACAGAGGATAAAGTTTTGTATATTTCTCATATTTTAAAAACAAAATTAAAATTCAATGTTTTGAAAAATGTTTATGCTAACTGGAAAAAATTTTAAGAGTAAGAAGTAATTTTTTAATTAATACATGTGAGACAAACACAAATTGTAGGGTACTTACGTACCATACAATTAATGCAACGTTTAACTTAGCCAAAAAAGCAAGTCTTGAAAATTTGCTTGCACTCCTGGTAGAAGTAGTATTCTCTCTTTCAGTTCAGGACAACCAAAAGCAGTCCCTATAATAATGGTTCATTACCTAAATTATGTCAAAAGAATAGTAAAAATTGCCTTTAAATGTGAAGGCATCCAAATGTTCAGAAGGAGGATGAAATTACCTTGTGGTTACAGTATTGTTAAACAACAGACCAGATTAATTTTGTCAAGTTCCTCAATACATGTGATAAAGTCCTGCTGCTGAGTTGTGTCTCACAATGAGCATTTAGGGTATTCCAGCTAGAGAGAGATGGGAACAACGTATCTCTTTTTTTTTTTTTTTTTTTTTCTGAAAAGCAAAGCTCTGCCAGATACTAATGAGATGGAATAAACACATCTCTCCACATCTACCAATTCTTTTAGCAAGTCATATGCCACCAAGATCACTACATGCCATTTAGATCAGAAGAAATCTTACTGTTAGGATATTTTTAACAACATCCGACTACACTGTAAGCAAATGCATTCTCTCAAGAGCCTTTAAAGTGTTTCAAAATTCTCCCTGATGGAATACTTACATTGACACCTCATGGCAACTGTAATATCAATATTGATTCTTAACTTACTGGAAAGAAAAAAAGAAAAGGCAAAAAACTAGTAAGTAACATTGAATAAAAATATCAACAGATATATTACTCAAATTCTTGGATTACTTTTAGGAATGCATTCAAATAACAAAATTAACACCAACAAACATAAACTTTAAGCTGTTTAAAATTTGGCTAAACCAAGATGACCTTTAATTATTAAAGCACTGATGACCCCTTGCAAGATAAGAGATAAAAGCATCAGACTTCCCTGTTGAATTTCACTATGAAATTCCTAACATTTTTTTTAACTATTACTAGACCAAGAGTTTGTGAAATTCTTACAAAGAATATATAGTTTAATATATATTCTAATAGCATACAAGGCATTTTGCTTAGATCTTTATCCTGAATGTTTCCACCATGAGGGGAGGTGAAACACAGCTCTTCCCATGAGAGGAAAAAAAGCAACCAAAACAAAACAAACACCCCAAAAATCTCCATCACACCAAAACTCAGGCTTGTGTGGCATTCCCCAATATTCTGGGCATTTCCTACTGGTTTCTGTGCTAGTTTCACAAAAGTCATTTAAACTATAATGAATAAATCCCCTCATATAGTCATACAGTCCGATTACCTCCATCCAGGAAGCTGCTCCTGGAAACCTAGCTGACCACAAACAAATCACATAAGCAAGGGATTCAACATTAGCTCAGCTTGGGATCAGACAGTCAGTACAGCAGAAAAGCAGTTAAAGTGATACCAATCTCCACTGTCTTTAATTGTGACAGAACCTCAGGCTGACTGATTAGCCCACAACCAAAGTGGAAAATCTGCAGCAGGACATCTCCAAGTCCCATAACAGTCTCTTAACTGCTAGACTATCCTTTCCGTGTGACAGCTTCACTAGGGACTTAACCTACTTCAGCAAAGATGTGAAAACTCAACGTGAAATTCCCATCTACCTGAATAGATTTACTCTAACTTCAGTTTGTGATGCACCTCCCTTACATTTCTCTTATTTTTTATTTTTTCATTACAGACACATCTGGTATTTCTTGTTACCACAGTAACTAGTCAAATAGCTTTTAAAGTTATTTCAGTTCCAGACACATGATATTTAAAGGTGTTCAGTGCACAAAATCTCTAATTAGCTTCACATAGCCTGGTGGGTGCCTGACCACCTGAGGAAGAAAGGTAAACGCAGTCCAGATAAGCACATGAAACCAAAAGCAATGTATCTTCAGCTGATCTTGGGGATTAACAGGAGCCAAGATCAGTAACAATCTCTAGATATTGTAGCCAAAGTTTTGAGTGCTTAAGGTTCACCTCCAGCAGCACAAAGTATAATGACAATATTCTAACTGTATAAACTAGAGTAAGCATAATGCAAATCTGGTGGGTTTACAAAGCTGATGTGGACTTATATGACTACATCCTCTGAATTGTTGGCAGAGTTTTTCAGGGGACTCCACCAACAAACCAACCTGCACTACTTTGACTTCTTCACTGAAGAAATACCAATTTCTCTTCCTTGTTGATTTCAGAAAATAAAACCTCCAAAACAACCAACAGAAGAAAAATCTAGTCCTTTTACTCTTTCGGTCTTAATTTCAATCACCGCTTGCAAGTCACAGGAACACTTAAAATTTATTCTGCCCTGAAAGGCAGACAAACTTAAATTTTTAAAGGAAGTATAATGAATAAAAATTACCTAGTAAAATCCTTGTCTACTTCATACTCGTATTTCATCCATGTGTCCCGATACACCGTGAACTCCATTATAGTCAGGAAAGCTATTGTTGTAAATGCTATCAGAGAAACTGAGTGGTCAAAAGGAAAAAAAGGTTTATATAGTGAGAAATATTATTCAGAAACAAAAGCAGATCAGGAAAGAAACCATTGGCTGCAGCATGGAGTGGCATTGATGAGCAACATTTCAAGTTCTAGCTTTGACCTGAAACGAAGTTACTATCGTATACATGGAAATCTTCATGTCAACACACACTGTGAAAGCAGATGCACTAACCAGTTAATTATTCTGGCTATCAATTTCCTTTTGGAGCCCACTAGGCCAGACCCACTCCAGCTATGCAATAGGAAAGCTATCTATCCATCACGAGGAAATAATTAGAGCCATAGATGCTTTCTGGGTAATTCTGAGCGAAGGTATTTGTGGATCTGAATATAAAAATAAAGTCTTGTAGAATTTCCAAAGACAGATGCTCTTTCCTGAAGGCTCTGCCAGCCCCAGAGCCAGAGTCTCAGCCCTCTTCAGAAGTCCGTACTTCTTTTGCAATGGATTTTAAGGCGTTGAAATTGCAAGGATAGTCTTGGTATGTTCTGTATCCCTACCAAACCAGAAAGCAAGCCTGGCACTTTAATCCTGAACAAAGTGAGAATACTGTATTAAAATTTCATATGACATAGAATAAGACAATGCTGGATTATAATTTATAAGGTTACTGAGATAAACCAAAGAATGCTGAAGTAACTTCTGGTCTTGAGAAACCCTCAGGGCACTCTAAACTGAAGTGAAGTTCTCGTGAAGAATGGTGCTATTCTACAAAAAAGGAATTTTTAAGCATTTCTTGTCTTTCTAAGAGCTACAACATAAAAACAACTCACTTGCTTTCTCAGTAACTGGGACTAACATTAACAAAGAGTTATTTCATCAGCTCTTAGAGATTATTTTATATAAAATAATCCTTTAATAATTAACACTGCCATTCAGGAAACACAGCAAATACAGACCCTTGTGATACTTCTACATGAGTGGCATATTGACTTCCAAGTCTTATCTGTAGATTGCAATTGCTTCTTGTACTTTTTATTCAACTGAGTTTCAGATATAATTGCACATGAGAAAGATTTTTGTCCTCCATTTCAAACTAACTGCTAGGAGTTTCCTATCTAACTGCAAACAATTCCAAGAGTCCAATAGATTAAGTCACAATTTCCAGATGAGGCTACCTCTAACCCAGCCCAACTTAGGGCACAATACTCTGTTCAGATACATATAGAAAAAGTACTTCTTAGAGCTACAGCTTTTTGAGAGAAGCTCAAGTGACCAATAAGAACGGTATAAGGACATGCCCTGGTGTTTAGTTTTTCAAAGGCCTTTCCTTACTCTTAAAATCAACTACACATTTATGACAAAAAGCTTTAAAAAGCTGCTCTTCATCACGATACCTAACCAGCTCTTAGGCCCCCCTGAATAATGTTCTTCCTCTTTTATGAAAGCATAGAGCTGAATCCAACTGGCATTTCACCTCATCCTGACACAGTCTCACCCAGAAACCTGACACAAGGAAAAAGACTTAGTGATGCAACAGATTAAGAGTTCTAATATGGCCTTGGCATAGTGCACTTCCAGCTGTAATTGGTTAGAAGGCTTTACAGTGAGCCTTTACACTGGTCTCACCACTTTTATATGAAAATCTCCCTTGAGATGAAGAATGAATATATCTATTTGGATAAGATACCACATCTTTACCATGCCTTTTGAAGGAGATGAGCTCTGTCTGTCCACAAAAGAAAACCAGAAACCAATTTTTTACTAGCTTCAAATGAGCACAGATGCCTGTCTTCTGCCTAGTGAAGTTTCTATTTCCAGAGCACGCTAGACTGAGCCAACAGCCAACATGAATCATGTCAGCATCTCAGTCAGGCCTACCTGTGCCTCCACTGGCTGAAGACTCCACATAGCTTTCAGGAACCTTTGGAAAGGCATCCAGTTCTTTCATTAAATTCAAGGTCTTCTTCCGATTCAGTCGCCTCATCTTCAGCACAATCCTCCACCTCCTCCTTCATATATTCCCTCTGATTTGAGAATAAATTGTTGTGATTAAAAGACAGAAGCAATATTGCTCAAACTGACTACCCATAAGAAACACATGCTAGACAACTGGATGGTCACCCTTCCTTCAATAAAACTGTTAAAATTAGCCTGGACACTGCTGCTTACATTCCTGCCACATCCAGCACACTCACTCTGAGTATTTTCTTTCTCAGTTAAATTCTTACCAGCACTGGATATATTGAATTTTAAATTTAAAACAAACAAACAAACAAACAAAACAAACTCATGCCTGAGTAAGCTTGCTAAACAGACCTGACAATGCATGAAGTCACTGACTTAGCAGTGAATATCTAATAGGCTGTATGAACTCAGGACGATGTCAAATTGTTCTGGGCTCCTATATTCAGCCAATGTGGGAACATACTATATGTTAAAGGGCGGGAAAAGTGCATTTCACATTTTTACAGATGTAGAATTTCAGAGTCATAATAAAACTAGCATTTTTTTCTTCTATAAAAACGCCACGTCCTCCCCCCAAATTAATATGAAATCCTAGCTCCCTCCTTCAGCATCATTTTGCCCATGACATGGTCTCTGCTTTGCTCAGAGTCATTGATGTATTAAGCAGCAGGATTCTGAGAGAAGCAGCCTGCCCAGAAAATACTGTCCTTAACTGTTTACAAATCATGCAAATATGCTCACAACCCAGTCCTGCCAACATGCTGCACGTTTTAACAAGTTGGCACTGCTGTTTTCCTTATGAGGAAATGCCACACTTGAAGATAAGGAAACCATCATGCATCAGCTGTATTCTGAAAATGCATCATATAATCATTCCCTACTTAAAGACACCAAGGCAGACAAGTTAACCAACACTGCCAACATATGAGATGGTCCTCATTATCATCTGGTATAAAAATCTGGTAAGACACCTCCCCAGTTTCAAAAGCACACCATGTGTTCAGTACGTCCCAACGAAATTACTGAAGCTACTCCCAGCTCTAGCTCTCCCTGGTGCTGAGAGGGCTTTGCACTGTGCAATAACAAAGCAAGTTTTCAATGGAAACTCAAGTTCAGATGTGAAGAATCACCATCCATGCCTGCCATCTCCTCACTGCACAAAATCGCTTCAGACCTTGGAGGATACAGACTGTACTTGGCAGGGGCATCAGTCAAACCAGCCTGCAGAGACCAATAAAATACTACTGCATGTGTTGCACAGGATTCAAAGAAACCACAGTTAAGTGGGCAGAGGAGATGGGTGCTGGCACAGAATTTCAGTTACACAGCATTAAAAAAACCAGTAACAGGGAAGCAAGGTGTCTTTACACACTACATAACTCCGTTTCATAGAATTTTCCCAACTCCATTCCTAAGGGAAAACCTGAAAAACTCAGGAGCACAGATGTGGCAAAGCAGCTGCTCGGAGGCAATGCCTGAAGCCGCAGTTTGTGCCGCGATCCTGCCCAGGCAGCCGAAGTTCAGTTCCCACCGCTCCATCTTCCCGGCTGCTCCCACGTGCAGAGTCATGTACAGAGGCACAAGGTAAACTCACAGCACTCGAGGACACCTGACTAAGAAACTTTCTAAATCACTCAGCATCAGTGAGGATGTGGGGGTTGTCATCTTTCTAGAAGAGATCAATCTGTTCATTTATTTCGCTAACCCCACACTCACTTCCCGCTGCCCACGGACCCACCTCAACACACACCCCTCAGAAGAAACACCGAGTATAAAATTTTGAACCCACTGCTACAAAAGTAACTTACAATGAAGTTAAGAGACAAACGCGTTAAGGAAAACATTACTGCAAGCTAAAAAACCAAGAAAAACAGCACAGCACAAGTGCCACTCGAGAGCAGAGCGCCCGCCTGAAGCGCCCACAGCGCGAACCCACGCGAGGGCCCCGGGCGGGTTTCGCTTGCTCAGACAACTCGGAAGCGAA